AGATATATTGCTTTCATTTTTTTTCTTTGCTCTGTGGTAGGATTTATGATACACCCTTTCCTGAGACTTTTAATGTGTTTTGTCTAATATTGTATCTTTTACACCCTAGTCACCCAGGATTAGCCACTGAAGAACACATGCCCAGTACTTCAAAGCATCATGTGCACTGTAAGGCAGGACTGGTGTGGAAACACACCACTCTGGGTTGCAATTCAGGCAGCTCCACAGCTTCACATGTTCCGGGACCTGTGTTTTGCAGTTCAGATTAGTTGATATCATTGCCTGAGCTTTGGTGGTGTGCAGAAGCTAAGAGCCATGGTACACCTCACCGCAGAAGCAGACAGCAAAGATACTTCTACAAAACAAAATTCCTAGTAAACTCTGGACAAAAAGAAATGGGAATAAAAGGTTCTTACTGAAGTTCTGTGGTGGAGAAAACAGAGCCGATAGACTGTACAGATAAAAGTCAAATGTGTTTAAAAATGAAAATAATTCCTAGTGTCAGTACTCTTTTTTTTTTCTTTTTCCCTCTGTGTCACTGTAGTAATTTTCAAAGACAGGCCATTCATCCTACTTACAGTGACTGATGGTCATTTCAGCTGCAAGAGTGAGGTCATTGATCTATGGAGGTTATAGCTCAATTTGGGAGCACAAATTGAAGGAAGAGACTTCGACTGAGATTTTTGAAATTCAGCTAACAGTCTTTAGAGCAGCCATTAGCTCTAGCTGAGAAGCAGGACTGCTGTTGACTGGGAGACAGAAAAATGGGTGGTGGAGGGAATCAAGTGTCATAAACCAGAGTAACTTCGGGTGTGAACAAGGGCTAACAGTATTTCCAAGGTAACAGAATAATCTGGTTTCAGTCAGTGAATACAGTAATTGGTGGAAGTCTTTTTTATATAAAAACTAACAGCAATATGCCTCATTGTTTATTTAAATCTAAATCCCTATTCGAGACAGAACTAAAAGATGCATAACTAGTAATAGCCCTTGTAAGTGCACGACCACGTTTTTATTAGAAAAGCTGGCATTCTGTGTTGCTCTAAGGGAACCCAGACCAACCACTGCCAACCTCTTGGCTGATGTGGCGTAACACTAATGACAAAAGATACAGCAAACCCTCATTTGCAGTGTAAGACTGATACCACCTTTGGAATCTGCAGACTTAAGTGCTTCATTTCCTCTTTCTTTAAAAAAAGTGTGCAATGCAGTAAGTGCCTGTCATTCCTTGGTCCGTCCATACTCGTCTCATAGTCCATCCACAGTATCTCAAACCACTACTGTACCTTGGGATCTGTACAGGAGGTCCAGTTCAGTTCCTGTCGTCACAGGAAGCATTTCTTCATGTTCACCCAGCCCCAGATCCTGTCTGAGAGGACTTTGTTCTTACTTCACTTGATGGAGTTTGTTTGATGTCATTTCATTAGCACATAGCCATAGAAAACATCAGCACTGGAAGCCTGTAACTAGAGATAGCGGGTTTCAGGAGCAAAAGAAATTGCAGTGGCATCTCAACAGATTACATCAGTAGCAGCAGCTGAAGGAGGTTCGGTACAAATTGAAAATACTTGAAAACAAGTATCTACCTTACGTAATGGAGGGGAAGCGAAAGAAGAGAATCTAGCAATTGTTTTTAATCTCCTCTCATTAGCCAAGTATGTATGTACTTCAGGAGAAAGTGGATAAAAGACTTGGGAATGGGAAATTGCCCAATTAAGGGTTTTCCTTAAAGTTAACAATATAGAAGAGATTCATTTTCAAAACAGTGAGCTGTAGTTATACACGTAACTTGAAAAAAACCACTTTTCGCTTAATGCTTTGTAATAGCTAAAGTAAAATGAAAAAGGGGTTTCCTTTGGTGTTAGTTTGAACTTTGTTCATTGGAGGTATTTTTTGTGTAGTGTCTCTGACGGTATGGTAAATAACAATGTAAAAATGATGCCAGCCAGTTTGATCGAACGTGTGGTTGACTGAACAGGATTTTGTTTGGGCAATACAGTTAAAAGTATATAACATGCTGCTGGTGTGTTCAGCAAACATTAAAAAAAAGAGATAATGCAACACAACTCAGGATTGCCTGCAGGCACATTGCAAACTTTTAATAGACTAGACTAGGGAAAATGATTAAAAATTAAGGTTTGATTCCTAGCTCTGCAGAACCTGGACCATTATTGCTCCTGTATAAAAAAGGAGAACACATTTCTTTACCTCACCCTTATTACCTGTGAAGTGGGAAGGTGCAAAGATGAAGCTTGTAAACGGGCCTTGTGATCCTGACAAAACTCTTTTGGGTTAAGACAAGAAATCTGCAGCAAGAGTTGCCAGATCACAGGGTGTTTGCCAAACTGAAGCCTGGACTCAAATGTCCAAGTTATTTGACACGAGGAACTATTTATAAAGGAAATACAGTTTCAGCACATACAAATTGTTGTACAGGTGAGCCACATCACCTCTCCCGCTGCCTAAACCTGCCCTGGGAAGAAACAAGACTAAGCTGTTAAACCCTTGCTTTGAACCAGTACCTGGATTTACAGGCCTATTGAAATTTCTTTGAGCTGCCTGAACACAGAACACCATTACTTGACCTTTGTGATGAGACAGCCTTAAAAAACTTTGGAGATGAATGCGCAGTGATTCCAAACAGCCTGAAAAATGCCAAGGCCATGTACTCATTCTTTCTGTCCCCGCACTGGTCGCAGTCACCGTGACTGTGTGCTGTGCCCACTCATGCCCTGCCTGGCCACCCCGGTCCCTCACCTCCGCGGCGCAGAGCAGCCGGTTCTCACGGGGCTGTACCAAGCAAGGCTGTCTCCCACGCTGGTGAGGGCGCGTCCAAGTAACACATTATTTGATGTTTTGTTTTCTAAGCTGTTTTACATCGAGAAGCCAAAGACCAACAACAAATGAGGACAGAGGCAAAAGCTGGTTGGTAGAAACAGGCAGGTGTTCTTTATTTCATGTGGCACAGCATTAGGCAGACAACCCACGCAACAGTTTCTAACAAAAACCAAAGCTATCACTTCCAGGAACCATCCCCCAAACAAGGGTCTGCTGCCAACAGTGGCACTGAGGTCTCCTTGCCTGTCCACTCTCATCTCCTCATGGTTTGCACGCGCTTAGGCTGTATCTTTAGTTGTGAGCATCCTTTCCAGGGAGTCTAACTCCTTACGATACAATATCTTTCGGCAGCGTACATACTGTGCAGTATCACCAACGTACAATCTCCTCAAGCCATGCTAAAATATAACGCTAACTCCGGAGAGAAGGCTGCGCAGTCGCCGCGCGTCTCTCTGAGGTAATACAATGCCGTTTCTTAGCTGACAACATGAGGGGCACCTGAGGGAAGATCAATATGGCTTCAGAGTCTAGTTTTAAACTCCTGATGCAGTAGCGAGGACCTGGCATGCCGTCTGCTGGGACACGGGGCGAGCACCTCCTCCATCCCCGGCTGCCAACGGGCGCCAGCTGCACTGGAGAGCCGAGCCTACTGTCGCTGGGTGGGCAGAGAACACAGATGCTCTTGGATGAGGAGGAGGAGGAGGAGGGGTTATTCAAAGACCACAGTGGACTATGATCTTTGTGTTGGTCACTAGGTGAGAGGTGAGCAATGACGGCCATCAGGGGAGTTACATAGTTATCACTCTGGATTAAAGGCATGAAGAATGGCTGGTGGGAGGAGGACATTTTGGAGACTCAGGGCAAAGCTTTAAAAGCCTTGGGGTATTACTTTGAATTATTATCTACAGGTTATTCTCTCTATATATACTATTTTTCTTTCTAAATTAAGAAAATAAACATTTATTAACAAGTCACTGGGTCAAATCCTGCTCTCCACTGAAGCCAAATCCCTGACTTCAGTGTGAGGGAGCCCTGTGTAAACAACGAAGGGCAAATTTGGCCCTTTATGTCCTGAAAAGTCTGCTTGTACCCATTCCTTTTAATCCTGCAAGGAAATACAGACTGAAGGGTGAATTAGTTGTTATGAATTTGTCTTGAACTACTAGGTGAGCATCAGTCAGATGTGGCAAAAGAGCAAGAAAAAGAACAGGTAAGTAAATACTGCTTTAAAGAGAATTTTATCCATGTTTCAGAGCAAAAGTACAAAAAGAGAGTGGATCTGGATCAAGTGCTACTGGCCTTTACTTTCTAATCAACCACAGAATCCTTCACTCAGCTTCGGTGCCATGGTGCACAACAAGAGAAAAGAGAGGGAACCAGCTACTCCTTTTTCTATGCAAACATCGTAAGCCCAAAGGTGAACGCTGTCACCCCTTGGATGCTCTGCTAACTCCAGCTGTCCGCACAGCGCAGTGTCAGCCGCTGAAAACAAAACGTGTCTACCGTGCAGATGAGTAAAACCTGCGGTGTCTGACAAACGTAACTTAGCGTTTTGAATATTAAAAAACACTAGGTGCTTTTAGACACAGAACAATACGATTTTGGATGCATTTACCACTTTTATTTCACTATGCAGAAACATACATTCACCATGTGTTGTGATGCAGCTGACAGTGTAATGGACGCTACCCCTTCGGTGGGTATTATAGCTGGACACTAACGAGTTTTCAGTGGACGTTCTGTACAGGTTAAGGCTTGACTCTGAACTAGATAGTAAATGCTGACCAGATTCTCCAACAGATTTTTTTTTCTTTTTTTTTTTCCTCTGAGAACAAAAGGGAAATCAATAGAAAACCACCATGGTTATTTCAGATTAATAATTTTCTAATGCTGCAAACTAAGTAAAATACAGATTTTTTTTTTTTTTTTCTCCAAAGTAACTACATATAATTTACAAGGTTAGGATCTGTGAAGGGTGACCGGAAGCTGACTCTGAACAATGCTGACAAAAATCGTTAAAGTTAATATACTAAAATCATTACTACCTCATAAGGTATTCAGTCAGGTATACAAAGCACACTTTGTAAGCATTTAAATATTTTGATAAGAGTAAAGATTTGTCATCGTTTATCGGGCAGTAATAAAACCAGATGAAACAAATATAAGATTCGAGTTGTTTACTGAATAAACTGTGTTGTTGGCACATCTAATGTGTGGTAAAACATTATACACAGTACCTATACAGCTTCTAGCGTTTTGGGGGTAAATCTTCATTTACAATATCCGTAAACAAAAGGCTTGCCATCTAACGGATTTAAATTTGTTTAGACTTCCATAAACTGTGAAAGGCATGAATTGTTTATGTGTTACATGAGATCACTGTTTATACTGTTTATGAACGTGCAGGTATAGCTGAAAACTTAGACATTTTAAGAAAATTAAAAATGCTGCTTTTCTGTAATTTTATCGTTGCTTCATGCAATATTGTTTAACTGCTGCTGATTCAGATTGCTTTCTGTGGGAAGGTATCTCTGCCAGTTTCTTTATTAACGGTCAAGATCGATTCTTCTCTACTGAAATTTTCCATAGACAGATATAAGTCAGTCAGGTCGGAACTGAGACTCCACATAGGCTCTCGTATTCCTACTGATGTGCATGTCTGGATTCATATGCAGTCTAGGTTATTCCTGCAGGAAAGAGAACTGAGTTAATTATTTGAAGCAACTGCTCTCTTGCAAAAGAAATGTTGTCAAGTTGTTCGTGTAACAAAAGCTGTTTGAAAATGGCATCATCCCACTATAAGCAAATTGGCCCAAATCCAAAGTCCACTGGCGCCAGTGGAAAGAATTAGTGACATCAACAGACTTTTAAGCAAGCCACATTGCGTTGTCTCTGAAACAATTAGCAGAACACCGCAAGAATCACAGCTACTCACTCCTCAGTGACTGGTTCCATCTTCCAAATAAATAACAGATACTGAAATTTGGTTTTCTTTAGGGTCTGTACATCCAAAAGCAGAAGAGCAAAACAGCTTCAAAAGGTGCTGTGCATTATAGTCTGTTACAACAAATGCTAGTGAACATATATTGTTTTAAGAATAAAATGCTGCTATCAATTTAAAAAAAATCAGACAAGCAGCTTTTTTTTCCGCCTTTCTGCATACAGCATTCAAAGCAATTTGTGCAAAGGTGCTGGCATTAACAGCTTTTGCATAGCAGGTTAGTATGCATGACATGTTTTTGCACACAGAATAAATATAGTAATATTAAGATGTCTGTTTAGCCAGCCACAATCGGAGAGCATGCCTTTACTGAAACAAAGCTTAACACAAGAAAAGCTGCATTATCATCTCATCCTGATAAACAATGCTGCTTTAAAACACAAAAAGTTCTTTCAAATACAAGAAAGCCAAAACATCCAAATACCGACACACTAACTCACTGGGTTTAAAAGAAAAATCAAAAGCAGGCTGGACTATATCTTTGCGAGCTAGGAATTAAAGCTTAAGTTGTAACACATCTGCATGGGACGTTTAAAAAGCAGCTGCAGGTTTTTCCCTTGGCATTTTTAAACAAAATACATACCTTTAAGAACAAGTTATTTTTGTTCTTAAACGACATAAAAGCAGACAAGAGATATTTTTTTTAGCTTCAGAATTAGAAAATTAGCCTATATCAAAGCATGGACAATGAGGACTTTCCAGAAAGCCAACAAAAGCAAATGAGTAGTTTCTCTTTCTCCAGCTGGCATCATTAAATGAAGAAAGACTTTTAGAGCTAAATGTGGTTTACATTCAAATACCAGAACTGATAACCAGCACAAATACAGCTTGCAAATGCCAGTGAGAGAAAGCAAAGAGTTAGAGGTGAATTATGGTAGGAAAACAACCTTTGCAACATGCCAGTCCAGTAAATGCCTAGGAAAATCATCTAGTCCTCTTACCTGTGGTCAATCCTCCCCATCTTCTGGTGTGATTTCTGTCTCTTTATGTACCACTACTTTGGTCACTGACATGTCAGGGTGCTGCTCTTTGGCTTCTTTAATTGCCTGAGCCAGCGCCTATCCCAAGGAAACCACAGAAGGGCAAAAACAAAAAGGAGGTGGAACATGCATGATCAGTAGCAAGGTGGAGAGATTCATGAGATATTACACAATTTACAAATGAGGAAAATGATTAAAATATGAAATATACCATCACTGATTTAACTACTAATCCAGTTTAACTTAAGGCATGCCAGTATGAACATTATCTTTTGAAGCAATATTTAGAAATGTTCTCTTTGGCAGTCTTCAGGGTAGCCTTCAGCAGCTTACAGATTTTACCTGATCATGATCAATATCTGCATCTCCTGTGATGACTATTCGTTTTTCAATTCTTGTCTCTGAGATGCCTCCTTTCACAGTCTAGATGGGAGGGACAAATGCATGTCAGTAACTTCTTTTAAAGAGTGCTGCTACTCATCCAGAGAACCGTCAGTGCAGGAACCCAGATGTGACTGGACTGCACTATCCCAAACAGCACGCACAGAGGGGCAACCCTGAACTGCAACCAGAGCAGCTCTGAAGCTGGCCTGCTCTGAGCGGACTAGATGACCTCCAGAGGTCCTTCCAACACAGACTATTTCATGATTCTAATCAATCTGCACACTCGTCAGGGGAGATGTTTGTATGTCAAAAATGGCAGGTATTTATGGTAAATTCATCCCACGAAGAAAAGAATGGTCTTCCAGACACTCATATTAAGACCTAGTTAAGTCCAACTGCAGCGTTCAGAAGAACATACAGGTTGATATGGCCTTTGTGTAGCTCATCTACTGAAGGGTGAATTTCACCGTGCAAAGATGAAACCCTGTCCTCAGTGAATACTCACAGAATCATAGAACAGTTTGCACTGGAAAGGACCTTAAAGACCACCTAGTTCCACCCCCCCTGCCACAGGCAGGGACACCTTCCACTGGACCAGGTTGCTCCAAGCCCCATCCAACCTGGCCTTGAACACTTCCACTTCCAGGGACAGGGCATCCACAGCTTCTTTGGGCAACCTGTTCCAGTGCCCTCATAGTAAAGAATTTCTTTCTTGTAACATAAATCCACCCTCTTTCAGTTTAAAGCCATCACCCCTTGTCCTATCACTCTATGCCCTTGCAAAAAGTCCCTCTCCAGCTCTCTTGTAGGCCCCTTCAGGTACTGGGAGGCCACAATAAGCCTTCTCCTCTCCAAGCTGAACAGCCCCAGCTCCCCCAGCCTTTTCTCATTGCAGAGGTGCTCCAGCCCTCGGATCATTTTTGTGGCCCTCCTCTGGACCCACTGCAACAGCTCCATGTCCTTCCTGTGCTGGGGGCTCCAGAGCTGGACACAGGACTCCAAGTGGGGCCTCACCAGAGCAGAGCAGAGAGGCAGAATGAGCTCCCTCGACCTGCTGGCCACGCCGCTTTTGATGCAGCCCAGGATATGGTTGGCCTTCTGGGCTGCGAGTGCACATTGGTGGGTCATGTTGGGCTTCTCATCAACCAACACGCCCAATATTGGTAGGAGACCTATCATGGCACTACGAGGTTTTCTGCTTAGGGAGGAACTGTTACTTAGGTGCTATCTTGGAACTTGACAGACCCAACATCATTTGTCTGGGCAGCCATAAGCTTTCTGTCTGGCTGTGGGCAAGTTCCTTCGGGTACCACCCAGCAATGCTACTGCAGCATCTGAGCTGACTGAATGTCCTGCTATGACTACATGATACAGATTTACTATGTGTTTTCTACACTGTGCACGTGTAACAGCTCCAGACTCAAAGGCAGCATAGCCATGACGATGGAGCCTCATGCTCAGGCAAATTACTCCTTCCTGGCTACCATGTGATGCCAGTGTGGCAACACTGCTTCCAGTTTCAGACAGTGTTTGCAGCTAACTCAAGTGTCTCTCCACAGCAATGTTCTGTGCTTGTGTAGACACCCCCTAAGGCTTTATGAATTTCAGGACTCTTACAAGTCCTTGGATGACGTGTTACCAAAGCCAGCATACCCAAAATAGGTGAATGAAGACAGGTACCCAAAACAGACAGGATTTTGTCCAGAGAATAGAAGAATGTGTCCACATTTTAAAATAAATAATACAACTGAAATTAATAAAACATACACCTTTGTGAAAAAGACCCTCCCTGTTTTCCAAGGACTCACTTTGGTGATATGTGTAGTGGTTGTAGTGCTGGTAGTTTCAGATGTGATAGTCTGTGCACTCATCAATACACCTGGTTCTGAGTCAGCACTGCAATCCACCTAGGGAACAGAGAGAGAAAACCACACGTCAAAACCATGCTCCTAAGCACAGGGTGCCAAGAACTGGGCTGGCTGAACTTCCCTGTTCCTATAGTTCCTCATAAAGTGAGTATCTAACGGTAGGGAAACAACTGCTGTTAGGATGATCATGTGTCAGTATTTCCCTCTGCATCTGGAGACTCCCCTTCACTTCTGGAAGGACAGATTAGAAGCTGGGGCTCTGAACTCTGTAATTTCATCAATGTTCTCTAAAGACCCTACCCCAGGACAGGAGTCACCCTCAGGTAAACTATACTTATGTACATCCTCCTCATGCTAAATATTTAATGCTTCAACAGCTTAGAACAGTTTACACTAAGGCATACACTTAAAGATTGGTGAACAAGCATGGGTTCCTTAAGGCCACGTGGTTTTGCAGAATTTCTTACCTGAGAAGACTCATATGTAATGGTTTTTGTTTCTGTATGGACTACTGGCACTTCCTTTGTTGAAATTTCAAGGTTTTCCCCACCAGCAGAGACACTACTGAAACTAATCGTCTCAGTCTTCACAACTGGTGACTGCGTGAACAAAAAAAAAAAAGAACTGGAACGTTTAGTAAAGCTTCTGGATTTCTCAGAATACTTTTTTCTTTTTTTTCTTGGGAAAAGTAGGGAGAACAACTCAAAAGCGCTCTGCATTTGAAAAAAAAAGAGAAACTTCTCTTCATTATAACGGTACATAAATGTACATAATGCTGGCAACATTTAGCGCTATCCTGGATTTCATGAATGCAAACTTCAGAAAATATGTAAACACTACAAGAGGCAATTGGCACAACCTGAAACACAGGAGGTTCCCTCTGAACATCAGCAGTTTTGACCTGTGAGGGTGACCGAGCACTGGCACAGGTTGCCCAGGGACTCTGTGGAGTCTCCGTCCTTGGAGATGTTCAAAAGCCGTCTGGACGTGGTGCTGGGCAACTGGCTCTGAGTAGCCCTCCTTGAGGGGGAGGTTGGACCACACGACCTCCAAAGGTCCCCTCCAACCTCAACCATTCTGGGGTATACATTTTCTTAAAATGACAAGAGCGTGACTCCTACTTGGGGTTAGTTTTCCATTCAGCTCTCAGGAAAAAAGAGCAAGAACAATTTTTTTTAACCTCTCTGCAAAATAATTCCTGAAATTCTGCTATTAGGGCTAAGATAAGGAACCTGGGTCGTTTAAGACACAGTACGCTTAATTTACAATTGCACCAAGCATGATACAAAATGCATTTTCTGTCTTTGAGGACATGTAAACTTTGCCAATCTTGGTGGACTTTCCCAAAGGGAATGCCAGCTGAATTCTTGTTATCCATTGCATAAAAAGCCACCGAATTAGGTATTTCTCTGTAACATGGAAAGTGGCTTTAGGGAAAAGATGCATGGCATTTTGCCAGCGCTGGAAACCAGCACCAAGCCTTGCAGGTGCCACGCACGCAGGAAGTAAGAGGAGAAACAAAGCGCCTGCAGCAGAGATGCAATCCTACAAGCTCGGTACGCTTGGCTTTCCAAGGCAGGAATTAACTTTGCCCACTGCTGCCTACACTCACAGTTCAGCACAGGCTCAACCGATCTAATAACGAGTTACCTCAAAATGAGGTTTCCTTTCCAAAGACTCTGCAAGGTGGACTGCTGCAGTGCGCTCCTCCGCCCGCTCACGCGCAGCAGCGGTGACTCTCTCTTGTTTGGCTGGGGCCTTCCCAGCCTCCTCCTCCCTTGTCTCCTCCTTCTCGGCCCCGGCAGAGCCCTCCTTCCCTTTCAGGGCAGCAGCCACTGCCGACGCAGCCGGGGCATCCAGCGCAAGTCCGGCCGCTTTGGCAGGAGCCCCGCTCCCAGGCACGCTCATCTCGTGCCTCTCCTCAATAACCACAGTCTCCTGCACAACCTTCCTCACCGCGTCCTGGTGCGGCTGAACTGTTTGCTTCGCTTCACTGGAAGTTACCTCCTGAGATGCCGT